ATTAATTTAATATCTTATATTAAATGATTTTCAGTATAATAATCTGAGCCGCGCCATGACAAAACCAACATAATGGGTTTGCAACCAGCATGGTCCGAGACCAGCCTGCGCATCCGCGCAGTCGTATCAGGATCCATGCTGTTCGCTATCAGTTTCTCTATTTGTTTTAGCGTTTGTAAGCGAACAGCATGGATCCTGATCAGACTGCGCGGATGCACAGGCTGGTCTGGACCCATGCTGGTCGCAAACCCATTATATTGGTTTTGTCGTGACGCGGCTCAATTATTATTATGAAGTTCACTATTCACCTATCAAATAAGAAAATAGTTCTTCACAAAATAAATGTGCGAAAAAGTAACATTTAATCTCTCGAAAGTTTTTATTTGTCCACTCAATGAAGTTGTAAAACCATTGCTTAGTGTTCATTTGTATGTTTATAGAACATAGTTTCAAAAGGTTTTACGGAAACTTTAAAGCTTTGTATAAAAACCCACAAAAAAAGGACCATACCAGGCGGAAACTGGAGGCCATACTCTTTGGGGCGAGAGCTTTGTGCCTTATTATCGTATAACTGTAAATAAGAACCTCAAAACATAACTTTTTTTAAGCTGCGGCGTTCGGACGGCATAGGGTTGCTATGGCGATACATATAATCAACAAATTTTTTTTTTTAAATCACAATACATTCAAAATAGTATTAAATTTTTCTCCGAAATAGCAAAAATTCTTAATAATGTCTGGATTAATTATTAAGTTATTATTAGCGTCCATGAATATATAAAAAATTGATCGACCCGTACAAAAAAAAAGAAAAGCAACGACAACGTAAAAATCGACGACGAAAACAACAACATAGTTCATGACTATTCAAAATTGCATTTCCCCAAATACAATAGAGAAAAACAGAATATATCCCTTAAAAGAAACCCATCACGGCAAAATTGAAAATGTCTTATCTTTTATCGGCAGTATTACCATTAACAGTTTTGCTGACTGCTGATATAATAAGATTAATATTTGGTATTGTATATAATAATAAAACATATTCTAGAAGATGAAATCTATACTGCTGTTAGATAATTATAATTATCTTGATATCTTATCTTTAACAATGTACAATGTTTTGATTTATATAGAGGATATTTGTTTGTTTTGCATGTAAGATTGAAATAAATATAATTTCACTGAGTGAACACCAGAAGCAATATTTTCACGAGTGGCGAAGCCACGAGTGAAAATATAATAGCTGGTGTTCACGAATGAAATATATTTCAATCTTATATGTAAAACAAATAAATTTTCTTTTTATTTCATGCTTTATAAATGATTTCAAGTATCTTATTACTGATTTTGCCGCGTAACGTCGCGCATTCTCCTTTGTGACGTCATCACATCCGCATTCAAATATAGTCCGGCTACAGTGAAAGTTATATTTTATAAATTTCACTAGTGGTTTATCGGAATATAATCATCTGATATATTACAATAAAACTCTCGAAAGCATGAAATAAAGTATGATAATGAACGTCTCAAATATTGTGTGAAATTGTCGATTGTATCGTTCTATTTTAAAATAATTTAACTCCTAATATTAACCGCATATATATGCTATCATTGTAAAATGCCATATATGTGCTATCATTGTAAAATGCCATATATGTGCTATCATTGTAAAATGCCATATATGTGCTATCATTGTAAAATGCCATATATGTGCTATCATTGTAAAATGCCATATATGTGCTATCATTGTAAAATGCCATACATATGCTGTCATTGTAAAATGCCATATATGTGCTATCATTGTAAAATGCCATATATATGCTATCATTGTAAAATGCCATATATATGCTGTCATTGTAAAATGCCATATATATGCTGTCATTGTAAAATGCCATATGTATGCTATCATTGTAAAATGCCAAATGTATGCTATCACTGCATCTGAGATAATAATAATAAAACACATAATTAACTAGAAATGTGTCCATATGACACGGGTGCCCCCACACTCCGCTGTCTTGTCAATCTTTTGACTCTAGGTCAATTTGTTTTGGATATACCTGCCACAAGTTGAAAACTAAAAAATCTTTACAAATACTGAATAAATCCACAAGCAAGCCCCAAGGTGCATAAGTACACATGCTGACCAACATTCTTGTAAACTTTCAAGCCTACAGGTCAAATACTTTTTGAGCTATGCATGAACAAGTTGAAAATTGCAAAATTTATACTAAGTCAAGGGCAATAACTCAATAAACTGAAAAATCCACATGCAAAATTCCAGGTGCATAACTTCACAGTGTTGTTGATCATTATTCTTGTAAAGTTGGTTTATTCTAACTCAAGCACTCGAAGATCAAATATTACAACATTATGGGACGGTTTTTACTAAGCCAAGGGCTATAACTCTTCAAATACTGGATAAATCTACAAGCGAAACCCAAGGTGCACAACTACACATGCTGACCAAGTTTCATGGCTCTATGTCAAATTCTTATTGAGCTACGTCCGACACAAGTTGAAAATTGCAAATTTCCAATAAGTCAAGGACAATAACTCTGACAAAACAGAATAAATTCACAAGCGAAACCCCAGGTGCTCAACTTCACATGCTGAAGTTTCATGACGCTATGTCAAATACTGTTTGGAGCAAGTGTGACCCAAGTTGAAAATTGCACATTTTTACTAAGTCAAGGGCAATTAATCTACAAATACTTAATAAATCTACACGAAAATAACCAGGTGCACAACTACACATGCTGATCAACATTCTTGTAAAGTTTCATGACCCTAGGTCAAATACTTTTTGAGCTGCGTGCGACACAAGTTGAAAATTTCAAATTTTTACTTAGTCAAGACCAATAACTCTACAAATACTAAATAAATCCACACAAAAAAACAAGTCAAGGGCTATTACTCTGACAAAACAGAATAAATCCACACGTGAAACCCAGGTGCACAATTGCACACGCTAATCAATATTCCTGTAAAGTTTCATGACTCTAGGTCAAACACTTTTTTTGTTACATGCGACACAAGTTGAAAATTGCAATTTTTTACTTAGTCAAGGGCTTTTACTCTACAAATACTGTATAAATCACACAAAAATACCAAGGTGCACAACAACACATGCTGAGCAACTATCGTGTAAAGTTTCATCACTCTAGGTCAAATACTTTTTGAGCTACATGCGACACAAAATGAGAACGGACGACGGACTGATGGACGCTAGGGGAAATCTTAACCTCCCCCCGCCCTCAAAGTAGGGGCACAAAAATAAAGACGCTCAGCATATCACTATGGTGATCAAGTTATAGTTAATGGCATGAGAGCAATACGTGTTAATGTTACATCACCAAAGTTCAAAGGTTATCATTTAAACTTTCAATGGTATCATTTTGTCAATAGATTTTCTACTACCTTTGACATACGAGTATATACGAGTTTATATCACTTAACATATTATTCTAAAATCAAAAGAAAGCAAATACTTGATATGGTATTTTTATTATGATATAATCAGTAACATAACGTAAATATAAAGTGATATTTAACAACAAAATATGTCTTAACAGAAAAAAAAAAACAACAAAAAACAAAATGTAACAACGTTCATTTATAACAATAATAAAAAAGCATAACAAGACAGTCGTGATAAATAAAAGACAGAACGGACAGGAACACATGGAGTGAAAAAGAGGGAAAAACTTCTATACTTGTCAAACTATTTTATCGAGCTCACATTTGTATGAAAAAGTTTTTGAAAATTCCTTTATTTCAGATAAAAGGCATCGTCAATGTTCACAAAACTCGGTGGTGATTTTAATAGTTTAATAGGCATTAGTTCACCTTGAATTTACCAGAGCACGATTTAACCACCGCATCGTTCCTAGACAGGCTGTAGAGCAGTTTAGTAGGTGCCTTCACTTTTGAAAGGAACTTCTGTATATGCCGGAACATAAGTACAGTGCGAATGACCGTACAAAGTATTTCTTTTAATCACAACGAAAGAGACATGCACCGTCCGGGAATCGATCCCGAGTCGCCCGATTCACAGTTCAACGCTTTATCAATTGAGCTAACAGGGTGGAGCTTTTAACAAAGCACTTGTGTACAGTTTGTTAACGAGTCGCCCAATCAAAATACAAGCCGAAGTCCCTTGCCGGAAACTGAAGTTTGACGTGATTTATCGCCTGCTGACCATGACTTTGACTTTACCCGGAAGTGACGTAAGTCGTCTTTATGTTCCTTGAGCAACATTGCTGTGGGAAACAGTGTTCCTGGAAGAAAACGGATAGAAAGTTAAACTTTGTGCATTTCTATAAATAGGCGTCTTCTAACTTTTATCTTTTTGTTCTTAAGAAATAATTATCATTTCAAATAGTAAAGCAATGGAAAAGCACACAGACAAGCTTTAGAACTAAACTATACTTTATCGAAATGATAAACCTTGTATTAACTTACTTTGTGAGAGTAGAAGAAAGCTTTATAACCTCCTTCTAAGAGATAAATCTCGGGAAAGTTGAGTCGAGGGTAGTTGTCTTTGTTCAAATCTCGATCTAGAGCCCTTAAGTGGCGATACCTGAAATATTCAAAGGGAGAATTTGTATTGTTGAAGTTTGAACAACATTAATAAACGTATTTATTTAATTTGTGAAATCGTTGAACATCGAAGAGAAATGCTTACTCTGTTTTACATTTATTCAATAGCTTTCCAGCTTTACTGGTGGAGAAAACCTTTAGGTGTTTCACGTTTTTTTAAATATGTATTCTTAGTATAACATATAAAATTTACAGTTGCCTTACATTTTTGGACCTCTTTCTGACGAAAACTCACAATGGAAGATGAGAACGTGGTTGCTTGTGAATGAAGTCGCTGTTTCTTCAAGGAATTGTTTGATTGATTCTTTTGTATAAAGGTTAATTGCTCCCTGTAAGAACAAAATAAATAGTTATCAGAAATTATTAATTAGCACATCACAAAATGGCGACAATTACTGAAATCATCAAAAAATTCACATTAACAATATAATTCATATTAACTTTACCTTAATATGACCGCCTTCGAATTCGTATGGATATCTACAATCTATAATCGTAACTTTGTCCAAACTTCTGTCGTAAACGCCACCAAGAACGCCAGACATCGTTTCCGGTGAGATGGCGCTAAGATCGCTATGCTTTCCTGGAATTATGGGTAGAATATTGACACGTGATCCGTCTGCAATAAGGTCAGATTCTGTAGACAGCTTATCAACAGCTTGTATGATGCTGGATATTGGGCTAAAAGTTGTCACTTCTGGTTTGGGTGTTGATGTGAAGCACTGTTTTTTCTTTAATGTAGGAGAACAGCCGAAGGTTTCCGAATAATGCTTTATTGTTCCTTTTATTTCCTTTGAAGAAAGTCCGAAATCCAACCTCGTTCTGAAAATAAATAGACTTCAAACATTAAATAACAATTTGTCATTGAGATTTTATAGATAGATACATTTTTTCTGCTCCTTTTAAAAAAGAAAAGATTTAAAATAAATCTTTTTTTAAATTAACAAAGAATTAATAATTAGTGTTGCTACTTTACCTTGGATTCCTTGCCATGGTCACGTCAGTGAAATCTGAGGGTACTGGAGGCATTTTAGAAGAAGTTATATTAAGATTTATTATTTGTGAATTAATTTTATCTTGAAATAATGCAATAGCCTGAATTATTAGAATACAAAATGTTTGCTATTTATACCAGCAAAGACATCTAGTCTAGATCAATTTTGAAAACAGCTCAATGAATCAGCAAACTGTGACGAGATTGTTTGATTGATGTTGATAACATTGAGCTAGTAAAGTCGCCGCCGTCATCGCCCCGACCGGCGTTAAAAACATCACAGCGGCATAATTAACTCGCCATCAAATTATTATTAGTATCTATTGTTATGATAATTAGCGATGATTACAGATCAATATTGTTTGTTTTTATCATAGATCGATAGTTCACGTGCATCTATCTGATCGAATATCGATTGATCATTAAAACTATTTGTTAAGAATCTTGTCTGATTTATGACTTAAACAAAATATTTTTATGACATTTTTAGATTTCAGGTGTCAACATATCATTTTTATTGAAACATTATTTCCGATATGATCGTAAAAAAGCTTATATTTTGTTTCTTTTCTTTGTCACATTCGTCAGTGCTAGATTAGGAATTCTAAAACTAAAGATTTATGTGTATGTAAAATATAATATTTTAAAGTGACTTCACTGATTTGAAATTTAGGTTTTGACCAACACGGCAGATTTATTTGCTGTGACTACAGATAAATCAATGTAAAATGTTTTTACATATCTCATGTAAAATTATTGATAATGTACTTGCCAACTTTCATATTGCTATCGCGCTTGCAAAACTTTTATCTTCACGTTAAAGGGACTCCACTGAGGTTTAAAAGCCAAAAACATAACATTTGAATTTCTTACAGAAATGAGCTGGGGCACTTTAAACAGAAATATATGCGAAGATAGTTAAGAAATATTCATTGAAATAAATTGAAAATCGTATTTTTATGCTTTCCTAAGCCCGATTTGAGTGAAAAACGTTTAAACGCTTTTCATTTTTGGTCATTGTTTTACAATTTGAATCTTTATTCTGGATAAAACGAAGTGCGCGATTGATCTGAAATTTTGCACAAAGATTAAAGGTCTAAACCAACATGGTACATTTATCTGGAAAAAATATTTTCAGTCCCATCATGTCAAAAAACCTCAGTGGAGTCCCTTTAAAAAAAAATAGAAGCAGGCAGCTTTATCGCTTTTTAGTACATGTAGTATTTTCTCAGACATTAACTGTATAGTTATTTTTTATTTACATGCTCCCTGTTATTTTTTTTTTTCAATAATTAGGATCATTGATTTATTTATGTATAATTCTAATGACATCCGTCTATTGATAGTCATTTATAAAGCATGACCACATAGACTGTACCTTCTTTTTCGTTTTTCGATTAAGGTTCAGTTATTGGTACGGGACTTTGTAGCTTTGTTTATTTGAATATACCACTGTTCATGTTTAAAATGAACGATTTAAAACATAGTCTTAACTTCGCTTTGTTTAAGACAACAATGTATAGAGGATATTCAAGTTTTGTCTATAAATACATGATTTATTTTCATCGAGTGGTATGAAAATAAATATTTCATGAGTGGCGGTAGCCACGAGTGAAATATGGTAATTTTCATGCCACAAGATGAAAATAAATCATGTATTTATAGATAAAACTTGAATTTTCTGTTTACTATATACGTTTTCTCTTTTTTGACATTAAAATTTAAAAGACTTTCCCTTAAATTTTGTGTACTGGCAGAATTTAAAAGAAAGTAGTCCGGCAAGACACCCGTGAAAATACGGAAAACTGCAGTGAAAAATAAATTTTTACAGTGAAAATACGAAAATGAAAATACACATTTTATTTCATCAATATTTCTCAATATTTCATTTATAAGTATATAATAAACACCCACAAGTCATAATTTTAGAATTTCATGTTATTGTATCTTTTATATTACAATGTAATGCATATGTATATAATTCTCTTCTGTTGTATTTACATTATATATAATTTGTAAATATGTAAACCTCTCCAATTTTTGAGGCTAATAAAATATAATAATAATTAAGTTGAAATAATGGAGTCAATTTTTAATGGGCAACATTGTTTTGCCAGTTTACCTGTCGGCTATACAGACAACGACATGTTTGTTCTCGAAATCGGGAAAATTACCTCCACACTATTGGTTTTCCAAGGGTTAGAATTAGAAACTTCATCGCTATCAAAATAATGAAATCTCGCCAATGATTGGTTGTTTGAAAGACTTAGAATAGAGAAGGTGACTACCTATCGTGGATGTTATGTGCGGTTTCAGACTGGTTTTGAAGTATTTTATCATCATATTTCTATTGCGTTACTTACGCAGTAAGGGCTGTTTTTGCATATATAGACCATATTTTGGTAATTTTCTTTTATTGTAAGTGCCGATTGCAACATGTAAATTACTTTATTTGTTCACCTCACAATATTTTACTTTTAAATACACTTCCAAAATGTTCATGAAAATTTACATGCATCTGGAGGCGTGCTGCTTTAAGGAACGTTTTAAAACCATTCGCTTCTGTCAACATTTATTTCTCAGTTGTTAATATTGTCTAAATGAAAGCTGTATCAATGTGGCAAACATCATCTTTGCTTTGAGTAACCTTTCACTTGACCTTAAACAAATTAGAATACACTTTCAAAAATGCATTCAGTGGTTTAAATCTTTAAATTACATGTTATGCAGTAAGATTGTTCTTTTTTACAGTAGTTTTGGATGCATTATATGTATGAAAAAACATTAATTTTTCATACGGCCTAGTTAAAGTTAAACAAGAGTATCATATTTGTAATGTGATTAATTTCAAGTACTAAGTAGGCCGTGTTAAACAGATTTAATTTCATTAAATGCTTCCATCATTAGTATAAAATATACACATTTGCAAAAAGTCCTGAAATATGATTTGCTTGTTTCAAATCACCGCGGAATCATTTACATCATGCTATTTATGCAATATTCAAATTAACTAAGATGGTGGGTCTAATAACGAAAAAAATCTTTTCTTGCGTAACTAAATATATCGTAATATTGTATAAAGGTGGATTTTGGTAAATATGGTTTCCACAAAAAAAAACCCCCAAAAAACCATAAAGACTACTGCTATGATGGAAGTGCTTACAATCCACGGGGATTTGTCTTAATTTTTGTCTTCTGTCTTGCTTTGTAAAGCCCTTCCTCGTAAGTGACATTCTTGTTTAAGACATTAAGTACTTTTGTAATGGCCATTAGGTTTATTTATGTATACATATGTATCTACATGATCATTTAAGACGTCCGTGGCCGAGTTATTAATTAAGATCGTTGACTTCGATCCCCGCACATTGTCCCCGTTCAATTTGGCTCGTCCAATTAGATCGCGAATTACAACGCAGGTATCAGAATCTTAAATGGCAACGACAAGTAAAAAAATACCGTGAAACATAAAAAAATCGATAGAATAATGATATTTGTTGAACTTGAATTATGTAAGCTGTGGAATTCTAGTTCTTTTTATTGATGTTAATGAATGATGCAGCGATATGCCGCCAGAATGCGCCTGAGTCACCGAAACGACGATTTCCCGTGTTCCACATTGTTAGGCAAAATAACATATAGTAGGCTTACACCTTTCTATAACTATAATTTTGATAGTAGATTTTTTTTAAAATTTTATCGGTGGTTTTGTATTTGGTATCTTATAGTAAGCCATAGAGTGCTGAAATAGTTTTTTAAGGGTTGTAGCAGGGGTCCAGGGGCAGGGTGGGGTGGGTATCCAAACACTCATACTGCCACTTGTGTAATACCCATGTACTTTACTTCCAATTTAGAAATATTAAATAGTTGTATCATATATTATTTAATTCCTCTGCATAGTAGTCATGTCTAAAAAAAATTATTTTGGCACAATGCTTTGCCTTTCAAAGACCCCAAAACCGATGCCTTTCATAAAACCATTTGCGGTAACCTTTCACTTGACCTTAAACAAATTAGAATACACTTTCAAAAATGCATTCAGTGGTTTAAATCTTTAAATTACATGTTATGCAGTAAGATTGTTCTTTTTTTACAGTAGTTTTGGGTGCATTATATGTATTAAAAAACATTAATTTGTCATACGGCCTAATTAAAGTTAAACAAGAGTATCATATTTGTAATGTGATTAATTTGAAGTACTAAGTATAGGCCGTGTTAAACAGATTTAATTTCATTAAATGCTTCTATCATTAGTATAAATATACACATTTTGCAAAAAGTCCTGAAATATGTTTTGCTTGTTTCAAATCACCGCGGAATCATTTACATCATGCTATTTATGCAATATTCAAATTAACTAAGATGGTGGGTCTAATAACGAAAAAAATCTTTTCTTGCGTAACTAAATATATCGTAATATTGTATAAAGGTGGATTTTGGTAAATATGGTTTCCACAAAAAAAAAACCCAAAAAAAACCATAAAGACTACTGCTATGATGGAAGTGCTTACAATCCACGGGGATTTGTCTTAATTTTTGTCTTCTGTCTTGCTTTGTAAAGCCCTTCCTCGTAAGTGACATTCTTGTTTAAGACATTAAGTACTTTTGTAATGGCCATTAGGTTTATTTATGTATACATATGTATCTACATGATCATTTAAGACGTCCGTGGCCGAGTTATTAATTAAGATCGTTGACTTCGATCCCCGCACATTGTCCCCGTTCAATTTGGCTCGTCCAATTAGATCGCGAATTACAACGCAGGTATCAGAATCTTAAATGGCAACGACAAGTAAAAAAATACCGTGAAACATAAAAAAATCGATAGAATATTGATATTTGTTGAACTTGAATTATGTAAGCTGTGGAATTCTAGTTCTTTTTATTGATGTTAATGAATGATGCAGCGAAATCCCGCCAGAATTCGCCCTAGTGGCCGAAACGACGATTTCCCGTGTTCCACAGTGTTTTGAAAAATAACATATAGTAGACTTTCCACCTTTCTATCACTATAATTTTGCAAGTGGATTTTTTTATATATAAAATTTTATCGGTGGTGTTGTATTTGGTATCTTATAGTAAGCCTTAGAGTGTTGAAATATTTTTAAGGGTTGTAGCAGGGGTCCAGGGGCAGGGTGGGTGGGTATCCAAACACTCATACTGCCACCTGTGTAATACCCATGTACTTTACTTCCAATTTAGAAATATTTAATAGTTGTATCATATATTATTTAATTCCTCTGCGCAGTAGTCATGTCGGAAAATTATTTTGGCACCATGCTTTGCCTTTCAAAGACCCCAAAACCGATGCCTTTCATATAACCATTTGCGGTCATAGGTATATTTACAAATTTTTATAAAACATCTTCGTTGTTCACTGACCGCATCAAACCCCAGGGCGCTCAGTACTTTGATTACATACAGCGTATAGTATAACAAAAATATCAGACACCCGGTACGCACGTGAAAGCAGTTTAGAAATGTTAACGTGTGACAACATCAAAGATACTGATATCATTTGACGTCACATATGACTATATTAAATCACGTGACGTTTTATAACAGTTTATTTGCTTGTATTTTACCCGCATTTAATACGTAACAAAAGAAAGATACAGGCAGACGATAGTATTAACAGTGTGGTCAATTTTGGCGATATAAATACTTGTAAGTGACTTTATTTTATGCTTGGAGTTTGTTTTTTTTAGAAGCAATGAAAAATAATATTTTATTCTGAAACAATGTAATTTAATTGTGTTAAACGTTGTTACTATAAATTTAGATCTGATGACGGAAGCCTAACTGAATATACATGTATATATTTAAAAATTCTTATCAAAGTATGTGTTTAGTCGCCGTGGTTTACTTTTAAAAATTGCACTCATACGTTCGAACTCTACATACATGCTGTATGTTATTTATTATCTTTAATTTTTTTATCTTTGATTTGAAAATATTTTATTAAACATACATGTATTAGTGTAATATTTTTTTTTCTTTTGCTTTCAAAATTGGCTGAATTAGCTATATATTTCATAAGGAAATGTCATAATTTTTATTGACCAAGACAGAGTGGATTGTTTTTTTTTGTTGTTATTGTTGTTTGCCAGGTTTGATTTTCTGTTTTTTTAATCATACATGTTATTGTAACAAATTTTTCTTTCGCTGTCAAAATGAGTTGTATAAGCTATATATTTCATAAAAAAAACATCTGTAAATATGGCAACTGACCATTTTAGAGTTAGTTTTACATTTTCCGAGCATTTTAAGGGATTTAAAAAGTGGGAGGACTTCAGCAGATGTTAAGCAAATGATGACGCTTTTCTCGCGGTACAACTAGTGCTAAGCAACCATTCTGGGAACTAAGTTGTCAGGATGGGATATAATTGTCTAGCATGTTTCGTACATGTATGTACGTAGGTGCCTGTCCATTTGCCAAATTATTCCCCCTCTTTTCTTTTACTTTTTTATAGGACTTAAAAATAAATAAGATTAACAAGAGTATACTAGTTCTTATATGTTTTATATGTAAATGAACAAATTAAATGTGATAATAGTAACATATGTCTCTTAAAAATCTCAGTTGATTGGTCTTACATGTATTTTAAATGTATATGAATTTTATGTTCTGTATTTGTAAACGTGAGAAAGAGACTGAAATAAACGAATAATTAATTTTTTGAAGTGCCTTAAACACATATGTAAGCAGTTTGTAACCGACTCTGATGTGCACAGGAAGCCAACTTGCATAGAAATATAATTCTGATTGAAAAATTCCGCGTTATTTGGTTTTGTATTAAGGAAACCGAGTTCGTCATGCTTTTCATGTAACAGTGCGATGGCATTCGACAATTGTGTTTTGATAATGAATTTTCCGGGGCCTGATTTTAAATTTAGGTTTGTTTTCCATACTTCCACTGGGGTGAAATCTTTGTACCTAAAGACTTACAACGGAATACTTGTAATCCGGTACCTGGCAAATGCGGGCTTTTCCAAACTATTTTCCCGCTACAAAGAATTTTTTAGCGCTACAGCTTAGCTATGCTTTTATAGACTTACTGCGAAAAAAGTTGTTTTCCAGAATTCGACAAATGTGGGATTTTCCCAATCTATAGTTATTTTCCCGGCACAAAATTCTTTTTCATTTATAACTTCACGTTCTTCCGCTCATAATAAATTTGTCAACTTGTTGCGCTTTACTTCAGACTGTATAAAGTCTGTGCTGATATGGCGCTATGTCAATTGCGGTAACAACGCGCACATTAGCATTTTTTTCTGCAAATCACAAAGAGCGTAAACTTTTTTATTCTTCTCAACTTTTGTTTACGAAACCCATTGCAAACCTATTTTGTTAAAAATATATCATTGGATATGTTTTGATATCATCCTAAGACAGATCGTTCACAGTTCATGGCGCAAAAATGCAAAATCAAACTGCATTGTGTTACACGTATATTTGGTTACGTAATTCGACCAAAAGATATATCTTAAATTATTATAATGTTTGCTTGGTTGAAACACATTTTATTCAAAATAAAAACGAAAATAGATTGTGTTACACTTATAGTTGGTACGATTATGTAATTCGATCAAAAGATACTTTCAAAAGAAGAACTATTTTTCCTTGGTTTAAACATATCGTTTTCAAAGTATATGTATATTAATGTAAATACGTTATTTTTTGTAAATAGAATGATAAGGCAGAATTTCCATGTATCTTTTTTCGTCTGCGTTTCCCGTTGACGATTGAAATATGCGCATATTGCAATTGGAGACCCCGAACCGTGCACATGGTTTGAATCTGCGAGCAAACGATATGTCAGATAAAACCCTAACGACCCTAACCCAAACGTCATATAATTCGGCTTCTATCATGACTTTATTATAGAGAAAAATACCGTGTATCGAACAAAATACAATATATTGTTCAGCTTCCAAAACTTTACTTGAAGTTTATGTGGTACTTATTATATTACATGTAGTTGATAAGGCATTAAATACCTAAAATAGCCAACATGTAAAAGCACATGTGTGACATCGCTATACCTCACCAATAAATAAATCGAGCGTATTAATGGATAAAAAACTTTTTTAACATTGTTTTATACCATTTAAAGTATTTGGATAATAATTGTATAATAATATAGGAAACCATTCTGTATATTTAGTAAAAGCGACACGTGTCAACCTCGCGGACACTTTAGAAAATATAATATCTAAACTTCGGCTCTATTATCGTGATTCTTCTTGAATTGAATTAAGAAAACAAAATAAACTTACTTTTTGTATTTCTTAAGTAATCATTTATTTAAATAAAAAACACAAGATTTAATTCTAAACCGGTTGCGGCCTTTTAAATTTACCACTATATAGCTATGAACTAAATTCCGGTTATAAACGGTTAAAAATTATTGAATACCGAATATTGTGAAAAACAACGTTCCGGAAATGACCGATTTATTACGATTTTGAACGATGTTAGATTTTTTCTTTGGCCTGAAAGCATAACAGAAAGACTACCTTAAGTCTATTTTGTCCTATCACTTTATAAACCGAGTCGTAGTACAGGCGTTATGGAATTTCTTAGTCGTAACGCTTCCAATTTTACTGAAATTTTCACAAATGCATGGTTATAAACAGCCATTCGCCAAGGCAGCATTTTATTTGGCCCTTCTCAAAGTTTAACAAACAAAAAAAACATATAAAATTCTTCACTGTAATTTTCTTTTTGTGCCTGAAAGCTGATAATGAAGTATCCTGGTAGTTGGTTTGAATGAGACAATATTTTCAATGAACTAAATTCAGACGGGGGAGAATCACGCCGTTCGTTACCTAAGCAAACAAGATGGCGGATACAGCAGACAAGTAAGTTTTCCCTTTTTTCTCTGAAATTCGTGATGTTCTAGTGTAAAGGTACATACAATAACCTACTCTACAATTTTCCGGGCACACAGGATTTTCTTTCATAATGTTTTGTCCAATGCGCGTCACCAGATTCGAAGCGAGAGAATTTTCTACCGGTTTGATCGTGGTATCTATAATCCGCTGTTTCGTTTACATATATGTATATTAACTGAAACCACTGACTTTAAGAAGTTGTAATAATTTATTATGTCGCCATCTAAGCATCCATGCCCATTCTGGCTAGATTTACCGCTGTAAATATAAATATCGTGGCATTTACCAAAAATGATAACGTACGGCGCATTTTTCTGCTAAATGGATTTTCTGTAAATCAGTCTGTTTTGAAAATAAAAGATAGTTTTATCGATCAGGTCTTTTCCATGCATAAAGGTAGGCTGGCATTAAAAGTTTCAGACGGGTTTTCCGGCATGGATAAAAACATCGAAATCCAAATCCGATTTGAAATATTATATAGACATTTTTACAATACGATTTTCCATAGCAACGAATGTTGCATTTCGCGCATGCGCATTCTGCGTAGGGCAAAAAGCAATAACGATGTCTACAGTTTATCATACTTTAAGGCTTTAATAGATGCGATTTCATGTTATGTCACCCAAAAAATATTGATTTTGGCATGACTTAAGGCGGTAAGTACTGAAAACGTGAATTTATTTTTAACAGATTTACGAAAATGTGCGGGAGTAATAATTCAATGGTCAAAACGGGCACACACATGTCTTTGTTTAAGGTATCATTAGACGACTTTTTCATCAGTAATTTAAATTGAAACTGCAGGGTTTTAACATAAAATTTTATTACCCCTGTATTACATAATATTACACAATTTGTATTGTACACTTCCCTTGAATAACTGGATTGGTCAGGCGGCAAGTGTCAAACAGATTGGCACGCGAACGTTTGTTCATTCAACCGGGACGTTTAAATATCATGATATGGTTAATCAGTTACGCTAGGGGCCTCCGTTGCCGAGTGGTTAAGGTCGTTGACTTGAGATCACAGGTCCCTCACCGCTGTAGGTTCGATCCTCACTCGGGTCGAAATCTTTCATGTGAGGAAGCCATCCAGCTGGCTTACGGAAGGTCGGTGGTTCTACCCAGGTGCCCGCTCGTGCCTGAAATAATGCCCGGAGGGGCACCTGGGGTCTTCCTCCACCAATAAAGCTGGAAAAAATCGACGAAAAATCTCGGCGGGACGCTCTAGGATTGCCCAACTTGAGTGTACGGTCGCCCATATGGGCTTTCCGGCGGCGACCTTAAATAAACGCATTAAAAAAAATCAGTTACGCTTATTAAAATGGTTATTTATGTAACTTTTAAATATACCGATCAATGTTTATGGATTTTGAGAAGAGAAAAATTGCGTGACGTACATTATTAAAAATAATATGTATAACGAAGAAGCGGATAAAATGTGTGTTATATCTTTTCCAAACAACCCATTTTAACTTCTCAAGATTTTGAAAAAAAAAATAATTATTTAAAATCTATTTATGTCACTTAAATTTTTTCTGTTTGCATCACAGGCAAATCGGATAAAGGATATGATCAGGTATATTGAACACTAAAAATGCATTGTCACCTGTTCTGATATTTTTTTTCTGAATGATAATTAATCTCCATTTCATGTTATATAATTTCTTTTGTTTTTAAATGAACTATTTCAACAGCAAATAAGTTGACTTTTCATTTGCTAATAGATATATTTCCACATCTCAGTGTCAGTTCCGTGATCGTAAATTCTTAAACAAGTATCTTTTCCATGCCTTTTTATGGCATTCTTCGCCACAAAGCTATATATAAAGTCATCTTTTTTATATTTGTTGAAAGCTATTTTATATAATTTTCTACCGTTTACCTTGAACTAACTCGGAATTGTCTATGAACTTCTACTATATTTCTATGTAGGGCGAAGTATTTCTTGCCATACGCAGATTGCGCATGCGCGAGAAAATTCTAATTCCGGTCGATTTTTCATAGCAACGGACCGCGTCGTAAAAAGGTCTTTTTCATAGTACTTAAATGTTTACCACTAGAAATTAATAAGCACATTTCAATGTCACTCTTTTATTGCTGATACCTACAATACATATTTTAAAGAAATTGATTGTTTTCATTGGGGCGTTTGTGGAAAAAATGCCAGAATATTATAGACAAATTCATGAACTGCATGTAATTGTTTTAATTATGACGTTACTTTCATTTATAATAAGTAAGTGTATGGCTAGGTCGTGCAAATATCTGACGTTTTCAGATAAGAAGCCGTACGTTACAACGATCAAACCGGTGGAAAATTCTCTCGCTTCGATTCTGGTGACGATGAAGTACGGGACAAAACATCATGAAATAAGATCCTGTGTGACGGCGTGATTCTCCCCCTTGATTCATTAGCCACCATGACAAATTTCTAATTTCTTTTTCCGAAATGTTAATGTGTATCTTTATTTGCTATGACTATGCACATACATAATTTGAATGGATTTTTTCGTAAACAAGCACGGTATAAAGATAAATCGGATGACTGCGTTTTTTTTTTGTTTTTTTTTTTTTTGGTTTTTTGTTTTTTTTTAACTTAACGATCGGCAAAAAAATGTTAGTTATGAGTATAAAATTGTGTCTTCTTTCAAGAGTTTGTGTGATGGTTGCTTTTGGTCAGCACTGATCGCATGGCTAAATTCTGCCCTAACCAGCAGGGTTGGTAAAACCATTTTCTTGGCAAACAAGTTTTAAAAATAACTTAAATATATTTTTCTTATTGCGCTTTCTACAGAAAAAGGAAGAAAAGATGAAAGCTTTTATAGTCTGTGTCATCCTTTTGATGCTACAAACGGCTTATATAACAGCATTTGCTACATACCGACCAAGTTCCTGCTGTACCTACAAACAATGTGAGCATAATTTTGCTTGCATAGATCGCCCAGATCAACAAGACGGATGCGGGTAATGTCTTGATTTAACATTAGAAAAATATATTAAAGGGACTCCACTGAGGTTTTTAGAAATGATGGAACTGAAATTATTTTTTCCAGATAGATGTACCATTTGATGTAGGTTTAGACCAGTAATCTTTGTACAAAATTTCAGATCATTTGCGCACTTCGTTTTTCCAGAATAATTATTCAAATTGTAAAAATATGACTAAAATGAAAAGCGTTTAAACGCTTTTCACACAAATCGAGCTATGAACAGCATAAAAATACGATTTTCAATTGGTTTCGAAGTATATTTCTTGACTATCTTTGCATATATTTCAGTTAAAAGTGACCTAGCTCATTTATGAACGAAAATTCAAATTTTATGTTCTTAGGCTTTTAAACCTCAGTTGAGTCGCTTTAAGCTAGATAATCAGAAAATGTGTAAATTAAAGAGGTTGCTGATTGGACATACGGATAAACGGAGGGTATAGATGGAATGCAATATGGTTTTATTCGAATGGGTGTGCTTAACCTTGCAGCAGGTCATTCTTTTGTGTGGTGACCGTAGATATGGTCGCCCATCACATCACATGTAAAAAAGGAGAAAAAGAAAACAAATGAACAAGAACAATCAAATGTCATTTCACCTTTTGAAACCATAGCCAAGCTGTATATCTTAGATGAAATTGTTATTCTTTCTAAAGGGGAGGTTTCAGAATTTGCCTAAATAGCGACCAGGGCAGACCATGATCAGCTTTCACGGATGTGCTGACTAATCCTGGCCTAAGCTGGTCACATGGGCAAATCTGTATCCATCTCCATCTCGCCCGTTTTAATTTTCTAACTTCAATCACCATCAAATCCATATTGTTCTATGTCGATCCTCGTTTTCAGTTTCCTTTTTCATCTTTAAAAGTTCTTACCACGCTAAAAGTCGAACACAAAGTCACGATAGATCTACATTTTAGGCTAAAAATCGGATACGAAGGCACGATACACTTTAGGCGAAATATATTATATTTTGACAGGCAAAGACACGAGGTCTACTACTGTAAAAGTATCGTGTCTTCGCTTTTAACGCTGAACATCTGCACGTGCACAAACTGAAACAATGACGTCATATTTTACGTCGCCTTCAGGGCCATTATTCATTTTGCGGGCCGATCATCACCTTCCGGCACTACTCTGTCGTGTATTAATGTCTTATTCGTGTCGGTGGCCTAAAAAGTCAAAGGCCAGGACACGATTAATGAGCATATTATCAGAACAGAACAGAACATATCGTTTATTATCGTTTATAATCCGCATTCGACTTTTGAAAGACGAAGACACGAAATGGCAAAAATCAGCCACCATAGTTTTAAGTTAACACTGTATAACATGTTGATTTTGTTGGTTTTCTATTGATACTTTTATACAAATAATAGCATCTCAACAAGAAACGGGGGAAAACGCAAATGACACAATCAATATACTCTACTTTTGCACATGCCTTCAAAAAACCATATTATATCATTTTCTACTTTATTGTTCTCAAAAATTATAATATTTTATATTAATTTGTTTGTTTTTTATTAATTCACAGATGTGTATTTGCTGGAAGTATCGGCATCTTTCACAGAATGTTTCGAGAGGTTAACACCCGCAGAATAGAAAGTCAGCCTTTAACCGGCAATGAATAATCACAGATGGTGAATAAAACAGAAGCGACCACAAGCTAAAATAATTTGAAATAAATAAGAAGAACAGAACAGAACATACTTTTATTTTGGATTTGTGCATAGTATATCATCACTGCGATATAAATACACAAAAAAGATGTAAAGATGTCACGTTTCTACCTAATAAATAATATAGGATTACATATATAGTATTAAATTTCATGTAAAGCTGAAGAATGAACAATTATTGATTACAGATGAAAATATAGCTATCACTTATAAAACAATTTGCTTAGCAGAGTATAAACATATCTGATTCAAAAAAATCAATTGAAGTTTGAGTAAAAATGTGTAACAAAAAAAGTATTCGGATAAACCATATATATATATATATATATATAGTAATATTGCTTGTAAATTGCTCTAACATTTAAAATTCTTTTACAAAATTTCAATATCTTTTTTTTTTAACCCCATTTTTCTGATGCATATGATATGATTGAGCCTACAAAAGAGTAAAATAATTAACATAATAAATAAGGTTTTAAATCCATGTCTTTACAACTTATCAATAATGTTTTCATTGCTTTTAAAGCCTTACCATAAATGTTCATTATTAAGAGAAAAATTGCTTGTATCCGAGGTAATTAAAGTGGTCTAATACTTCTGTTGTCTGACCGTTATAAGTCCATGTTTTTCGTTGATAGAAATATGCCCTCTTTTTTTAAGACTACAATTTTAGTTTTTTTATGGTGTTAACCTCTAATCCCTATTTATAGCAATATGTGTACAAAATTAAAGATTTAAACTTTTTGTAAATCTTCAGTTTCACCTACAATGGCCATATTGTCAGCAAAAAGGCAATAAAATCACAACGATATCATCAATCAATAATTCTAAGAGTTTTAGTTATCTTATAAATATAATTATTTAATGATTCGTAATATTTTTCCTTGTATACATGTACCACATTTCTACAGGTTCATCCATAATGAATTTCTATAAATACTATCAAAACAAGATTTCAAATCAATAAACCCTACATAAGAACGTTTATTATCGTTTAAATAATGTTGTTTTACAGAATGTAGAATAAAAAATGCATCAACAGTTGATCACCACTTTCTTAATCAAAAATATGATCGTACATATATATTCTTTGAGTTTCTGCATTCGGCGTCAAACCAATCATTATTTATGACTGACTATCTGAAAATTAATCATATGTTTTATTTGTGTTTGTTCTTGAATAAAGAGGGTCTGCAACTTCCCTTATTAATCAAGTATAGTTTTATACGGCCTGTAGATGACTAGTAATTATTTCTGCAGTCAGTTGATTAAGATCAGGTAATATGCCAATCAAACCTGCCTAAAAGGTCTCCCTTAGGTTCGAATCACATTTATAATTCATGTCAACTTTCTCCTGTTGTACGGTAATTAGTTATTGAATTAGAATGATAAGTGTTATATATCATTGGAAAGATAATTCCAAAACAAATTCAAAGACATGGTCTGTTTTTTAAATTTGACCTAAAATTACAAAAGTTATGTCCCCTTTGAATTTTCTGATTTTCATATTTTTCTGCAATTTTTGTCTAAGTTTCACATTTTATAATTTAAATGAAATTTAAACTTTTTACACTCTTTTCAACAACAGCTATACTTACAGAGTGTAAAATATTCACATTTTTTGGTTGTCCGGATTTTTCGTGTTATGGCCACTAAGCAGTGAATATAAACACTAGATGATTTTATGATTTTTGTAAACGTAAACTTTTTTCTTTTACATGCTCTTGTTAAAAGATTACCTGGATAAATATCAAAGTACATTGTACGATTATTATGGTATCTTACAAAAAAGTGAAGGCTGAATGACAATAAAACTGTCGTTAATGAAAGTTAAAGGCCAAAGGTCAAAAGTCATGGTATATGAATATTTTTCATGAATCATGTAATAGAAAGAGCACCGAAACACGAGGCTATCTGATTTGTACGAGGGGGCGTAGCCCCCGAGTATAAATCAGATTGCCGAGTGTTTTGGTGTTCTTTCTCTTTTGTATCATAGTCAAACATAAAAGCACGTTCCCTGTATCACAATATGAAACCCCGGCAAAAATGAACCAATGAACGAACATCTGGATATGACATTTCTGTCGCTTTCCCTTTCTCTGCCGTCACAATACGTAAACCCCAGCAAAATGAGCCAATCAATGGACATGCTCTGGAGTGCGGGTAACTAATACCCGCACTCCAGTTAACGCACTGTGCATGTATATGTATACGATTTAACCCTGACACATTTTCAACAGAAAGGTCTCCAAACTATGATACAATTTACAGTTACATTACTTACTTAGTGAAGTGGTTTGCAAACAAAGCTTACATTACAGGGAAAAGAAGTGCGTTAAATCACAAGCACATATTACAAAAATAGGATATTTGATAAGGTCAAACATGTTGAAATTTTTTTTTTATATAAACAGACGATGAATATATCTTTAAATTGTTTAGAGACACACAGTGATAGAGTAAACTATAGCTAAACAAAAACAAACGATCAAAATGTTTCTGTTATCATAATTTTAGAGCTAGCAAAATTGAAATAAAAATGTATTAACCAGTTTTCGGTCTGTCTGAATTTATCTGTAGTATACAACAAAAGCACTGTGTCTTGATATTGACTCTATAAAGTAAATAAAACTGTCCGTAAAAGCACAACGCGATTATGCAAAGATAAATTTGAGACACGCCAAGTTGATAAGCTGGTGCATGGTCTCACAGACTGTCAAGCAGATTATAAGTACTAGATGCATCCACTTTCATACCGAGCGGCGGCCTTGATCGAGTGAATAAAGTCGTTGACTTCGAACCACTAGCCACCACCGCTATTTGGTTTGCATCCCGACAGGGACTTTGTATTATTTTAAGTTAGGAAGCTATTCAGCTAGCTTAATGAACGTCGGTGGTTCTACTCAGTGCCCGTTCGTGCCTGAAATTATGACCTATACTGTGTCGGTGTGCAAACAAACAAACTTTCACACCGAACTGCTATTTCTTCTGTACACATTTTCGAATGACCTTATATCAACCATTGAAAGTGGCTTGCACCTTTTGGGAATCGAACATTGATCACCCGATTCACAGTCCAACGCTCTACAAAATGAGCTTACCAAATGGTCTTTATTATTATCTATTAATTAAGGTGACTCATACAGTGTATGGCTTTAAAGTCGCCTGTCTCGTTTGATGATTTTTTTTGGAAGGGCAAGGTCCACGATTTTGCACATTTTTCTGAAACGCAAAAAGTCATTTTTATGTCGAACTAGTAATTTACGGTCTTGATGACCGAGTGGGTTCAAACCCTGTTAGAGGCAAGCCGTTGTTTCCTTGAGCAAGAAACTTTACATTCATGGCTTAGTACTGGTTGGTTCCAGGAACGGTTTCGAGAGTGTTTCAATAAGCTTACAGCTTCCAACACAATCGAGCTAAATAAATTTGTATAAACTACAACAAGAAATATTTTAAAAGAACAGAAAGACAATCGGCGTTAATTCAGCACGATTTGAAATATCGCAAAACCCATTAATGAAATAAATAATTCAATAAAGGAAGTGATTAACGATGTAAAATATATACTTACTTAAAGTTTTATATAGGTAAACGACAAATTTTGATTTATCCGAAAGACGAAGACACATCAATTGAACAATTTATCGGCCCGAAAGTCGAATACACATCGATTGGCCAATTATCGTGTCCTCGACTTCCGAGGCGACATGACAAAATGTCGCCTCGGAAGTCGAGGACACGATAATTGGCCAATTTATCGAGTCTTCGTGTCGATGTGTATTCGACTTTACAGGGTGCCGATACGAAGATGTCTACCCGCCGACACGATAATTTTACAGAAAAAATCTCATATCTTCGCGTATTAAAATATCGTTATTTCACCTAAAATATATTTTCTTGCGTCGGTGCCCTCAGAAGCCGAAGGCGAATATACGATAAATGAGCATATTGTCGTGTTTTCGTGTCTTTGAGGGGCAAAGACACGAAGACACGAAATGGCAGAAATCAGCCACCATAAAAATGGATATTAGATAAAACCAGGCCCATTTCCTAAACTTACAATAATGAATTTTTACTTATTCAGATTTAAATTATTATCTTTTACAAAATATTGGAAATACATAAGAAATTGAATATATAATTACATTTTTCTTGTTTAGGTAAAAATGTTGGAATTGTCATTTACAGTCGCATCATTAGAGACAAGAAATTACAAACCTGTTTCTGTGAAAGCTAGATACGTTTTTATCGTGAAAAATGTCAGACGTGAGAAACGTAAGACTATTTTAGTGGAGAACATTGCCTGTTGCAATTAAATTAAATACTGTCAATATTTCATTGCATCAATAAAGTAATGGTCAAAGCGAAGGAGTTTGACTGTTTTTACGAGTAAATAATAACAATTTTAATCAATGTTTCGGCTTTAAAATAGCCGCTCGGATGTTCATGATTTTCTACAAATTAATTTGGATTTTTATATTTTGCATAGATCTACTATGAAGTAAATATGAAGTAACTAATGGACCACTCCTTATGTTTTTAAAATAAAAACATACAGTAGTGAATGTTGCTGTCCATCTATGAGTGAATTACACAAATGCCGAGTAGTAAATTGAAATCATCTTGTTCGGCCCTAAATGAACTCGACCGAGTCGATCATCTCGGCCACGATCTGCATCCGTTCAAATAATCCTTATGATCTGTTAAGAAATTATCAACAGACGTTTTGTGATAATAATAACACCAGCGGGTATTAATTAATTTTACATAGGGTAATACTTGAACAGGCTGGTGCTTTAAACCTATAGATACCACACTGACAGACCCAGCACAGTGTTGGGATAGTGTAAAAAGGTAATTCTAAAAAAAAATATACTGTATATATAATATATAGACTTAATTATATATACAGTATATATATATATTTTTAGAATTACTCGTTTACACTATCCCAACACTGGGCTGTGTCCCTGTGATATATACCTTTTATCACAGACACTTGGGGTGCCTTTAAAATCCAAATAAGATATATCTTTGTCAATCCCAGCACATGTACTGATCATATAATATGTAAAAAAATTAATATAAGCTGTTTTGAAAAAAAAAATCATATTTCAAGGTCTAAAATAATACACACACACGAGCTCCACATCCCAAGTGTCTGTGCCTTTTAACTGCACTGTGCTGTCCTATAAACTTACATGCTAGAAGATCTTTCGTTTTAGCAGAGGAGATCTACACATTCTTTCAAGCATCACTGGTTGCAGAATACACTATTGCAGGAATGATTGGGTACCAAA